TACACATCTGTAACTGATGCTCCTGTGTCAAGATGGGAGGCTGAGGCAAGACAATCCTCACAAGCCCATGGCCGGCTAGCCCGTCATACAAAGCGGCAAATGAGAGGCCTTGTCTCAAACAAGATGGAATGACACCTGAGGTTGCTCTCTCATCCATGTGCCACGGCGTGAGTTTTTACAAATGTCGCCTCTCTCCCTGTCTGTACCACCCCCTCACACACACAACAAAAAACAAACAGAAAAAGTGGTATATCCACTTCATGTAATACTATTTGGCAATCAAGATGGATGAAATATTGACATAAAGTACAAGACTGTAATCTTGAAAATGTTAAGTAAAGCCAGGTGGTGGTGGTGGTGGTGGTGGTGGTGGTGGTGGTGGTGGTGGCGGCGGCGGCGGCGGCGGCGGCGGCACACACCTTTGATGCCAGCACTTGGGAGGCAGAGGCAGGAGGACCTCTGAGTTTGAGGCCAGCCTGGTCTACAGAGCAAGTTCCAGGACAGCCAGAGCTACACAGAGAAACCCTGTCCTGAGGGGAAAAAGGAAGAAGAGAAAAGGTAAAGTAAAAGAAGCCAGTCTAAAGGTTCACATTCTTTTTTTTGTTTTGTTTTGTTTTTTTCGAGATAGGGTTTCTCTGTGTAGCTTTGTGCCTTTCCTGGATCTTGCTCTGTAGACCAGGCTGGCCTCGAACTCACAGAGATCCGCCTGCCTCTGCCTCCCAAGTGTTGGAATTAAAGGCGTGCACCACCACTGCCCTGCAAGGTTCACATTCTTACCATCCTGTTCACATAAAGGGCTCAAGGAGATCAAGACAGAAGGTAGGCAAGTGGATGCTTAGGGCTGGAGGAGGAAGTTGAGACATAATGATCAGGGCATAGGGTTCTTTCTGGGCTAATGAAGACATTCTAAAGTTAATAATGATAATGATGCCTAACTTCGTTCATATAGCAAAACCACTGGGTTATTCTAAATGCGTAGGTTGTATGTGGTATGTAAGTTGTTTTTCAGTAAAGCTACTAAAAATATGTAAATGGTCTACATATACCAGCTAAAAGGCAGACCTGGGGCCTGGAGAGATGGCTCAATGGTTAAGAGAAACCATGGCTCTTCCAGAGGACCTGGGTTCAATTCCCAGCACCCACTTAGAAACTTACAACTGTCTATAACTCCAGTTTTAGGGGATCAAACACCTTCTTCTGGCCTCTGTAGGCACTGCAGACAGGTGGTGCACCAGACATACATGTAGGCAAAACAACCACACATATAAAATAAAATTTATCTTCTTTTTTTTAAAAGGTAGACATGTCAAACTAAAACAAACAAAAAACCCTCAAAACTTCAAGACTCAATTATATTTACAGGTATTAAAATTCAAACATAAATATGAAGGAGGCTAAAAGTCAAAAGACAGAGAAAGACAGGACCTACAAAAACTTCCCAAAGGAGAGCAGGTCAGGCATGGCAGCACACACCTGCAATCCTAGCCCTGGAGAGGCTAACATGGGAGGTCAACATGGGCTACACAGTGAGTTCAAGACTGGCCTGGGCTACATAACAAAGGCTTGGGGGTGGCGGGAGCAGGACTGGGAAGGTTATGCTGATATCAGATGAGCTGGCTCTGAATTAACAGGGACATTTCACTATGATGAAAGAACCCACTTATGAATAAAACATAACAATCCTAAATGTGTAAATACCTTAAGTTGAACTTGAGAACAAAGCCAAGCCAGACACAACTGATGGGCAACAATGAAACAAAACGCACATTAGATTTCAACATTCTCTAGTTTGCTGATAGAAGAGAACCCAGAGGTAGAAGACAGGGTTTTTCGGTCTCTGTACTATCGACATTTTGGGGCCAGGTTTATTTTAAATTTTACTTTCTTTTTAATTGGTCAGATAATCCTGGGACTGTAGCAGAAGCAGTCCTGTGCACTGTGGATGTTCAGTGGTCCCTCCGGTCTCCACCTATATTCATTTCCTAGGGATGCTACAAGAAGTGCTCAAAACCAGATGTTTTACAATAATAGCAAGATGCCTCAGTGGGTAGAGGTGCTTGCCGCACAAGCCTGAGCACCTCAGTTTGATCCCTGGAACCCGTATCTTTTAGTTTCTGTTCTGTTGCTGTGAAGAGACACCATGACCAAGGCAACTCTTAGAAAATAAACCATTTAATTGGGTTTGCTTACAGTTTTAGAGAATTATTAGTTCAAGACCATCATGGCAGGAGGCAGACAGGCATGGCCCTGGAGCAGCAGCTAAGAAGCTATGAGCTTTATATCCTGATCCACAGACGAAAGGGAGAGTGAGGGGGGCACAGAAAGCGGGAGGGAGAGGGGAGAGGGAGAAAAAGAACACCCAGTGTAGCCTTTTGAAACCTCAAAGTCCCATGTGTGTCCCCCTCTCCCCACAATACACCTCTTCCAAAAAGGCCACACCTCCTAAACCTTCCCAAACAGTTCCATCAACTGTGGACCAAGCATTCAAATAAATGAACCTATGGGGGCCGTTCTCACTCAAATCACCACACCTTATAAGGGGAGAAGGAGAGGACTGACTCCACCAAGGTCTCCTCTGATTTACACACACACTCTATGCCATGGGCACCCCCCACACATACACACACAATCAGACCACCACACATGCAAACACACACATATACACAAATAGTAATACAAATAAGATAAAATTACAAAATAAAATAGAGAGCTGGATATAGTGATACACACCTTTAATCTCAGTGCTTGGGAGTTTGGCTTCCTATAGAATTTGAGACCAGTGTGGGCTATGAGACTTGGGCTCAACAAAACAAAAAATAATAGCCATTTCTTTCATAGTTATGCAGGCCAGAAGTCTGAAACAAAAGGGCCAGTAATGCCAGGCTCCCCCGGAATCCTCTGGGGGGAGACCGTCTTCTGCTTCTTCCAGCTTCTGGGCACCCCTGTTATCCCTTGGCTTGTAGGAATACCTCTCCAGCATCCTTTATCCTTAAATGGCTATCTTCTTGTTCGTCTCTAGGTCTGAGTTCCTCTCTTCTTACCAGAAGATCGTCATACCACATTAGGGGCCATTCTAACTTATGACATCGATAAAGACCCTGAAGTTACCCTGAAGTTCTCTCTGGAGGACACAACTCAGCCCACACCACAATCTGACAGGTGTCAGTGACAGCCTTCCTCTTTGTAAAAAGCCAAATTACCTCCAGACATTGCCCGTAAGTGGCAATATTGCCCCACTGCTGGAGATTCACTCCTGCTGGAGATGTGAATAACACCAGCAATGCCTTGGTCTACAAGCTACTTGTGGAACATTACCCTCAACAGCAACAAATACACAAAACAGACCATGTGCTGGACAATTGAATAAGTCTGGAAAATGACAGCTGACCTCTAAGAGGGTAGTTCCAAATCCCTGTGTGCTGGTATTCACCTCCTTGTGTGGGCCCCTTCCACATTGCACCAGGGTTGGTCCAAGTGATCAGTAAATTGTGGAAAGTGATGGCATGCCCATTCCAAGGCTGGACCTTTTGCAGCTCCCATTCTTCCTTCCCTCTGTCCATCTCTCCGCCATCTTACTCCAAGGGAAGCAGCAGGCCAGCTTCAGGCTACAAGCAATGCTAGAGAGACCTGTGCAGTAAGGAACTGAAGCTGACGGCCCACAGCAGAGTGAGGCTGGAGTAGATAACCCACTCCTAACAAGCCTTCAGAGGAAGGTGGCCATCTGATGGAAACTTCACAAAGGATCCAGAACCAGGACTACCTAACCAAGGCCCTCCAGGTTTCTTATCTGTAGAGGCAAATCTGTGTAATACCCAAATGCCCGCTGTAAGTCACTGGTGTGCCCACCCACACCACTGGGAAGGCTAGAAGAGCGCATCAGATCCTCTAGAAGTGGAGTTACAGGCAGTTGCCAGCTGTTGACGTGGGTGCTGGGAACTCAATCAACTCATGTGTAACCACTGGGCATCTCTCCAGCCCCTAACTTTTTATGAGGCAGGTTCTCATGTAGCCCAGCCTGGCCTTGAACTCCATAAGTAACTCAGACTGATCTTGAATTTCTGATCCTCCCACCTCCATCATCCAAGTGCTGGTTTTGTGGACGTGTACCACTTTACCCAGCTAATAACACTCTTCTAAATAGCCCATGAGTAAAAGAGAAAAATCGCAATGAAAACTGGAAAACATTTCAAGCCAAATATTAATGAAAACAAAATATAATCTGTGGGATGCCTCTAAAGCAATCCTTAGTGTGAAAAGTATAGTTTTTAATGGGTTGTTAGAAGAGAAGAAAGGTCCTCATTAATAATCTAAGAATCTATTTTAAGAAACTAGGCAGGCTGGGCTGGAGAGATGGCTCAGAGGTTAAGAGCACTGGCTGCTCTTCCAGAGGTCCTGAGTTCAATTCCCAGCAACCCCATGTTGGCTCACAACCATCTATAATGAGATCTAGTACCCTCTTCTAGCATGCAGGCAGCACATTGTAAACATAATAAATAAAAACAGATAGTGCCATCACTTGGGAGGCAGAGGCAGGTGGATCTTTTGAGTTCGAGACCAGCCTGGTCTACAGAGTGAGTTCTGGGACAATCAGGACTACATAGAGAAAGACTATCTTGAGAAACCAAAAAAAAAAAAAAAAAAGAAGACGAAAAAGAAACTAGAAGAGTCGGGGGTTGGAACATACCTGTAATTGTAACTCTAGAGATAAGAAGTTCAAAAAACAAAGATAATAAAAAGCTGAGAATATCAATAAAGCCAAAAAATGATAAATCTCCTTGGATGGGTGAGCACACTCCTGATTCCCAGCACTCAGGAGGCTGAGGCAAGATTATGAATTCAAGACCAGTTTGGGTTGTCCAAGTAAGATCTTTTCTGAAGAAAAAAAAGGTTCAGGTGAGATGACTCAGCCGGCAAAGATCTCTAGAAACTTCTAAGCATCACATCTATCAAAGGACTATTGTGTTTTGTCAAGTAGCTTTTGATTGTACAGACAACATAATTAGCTTAGATTTACACATTGAGGGCATCTGAGAGATGGCTCAGAGGTTAAGAGCACTGACTGCTCTTCCAGAGGTCCTGAGTTCAATTCCCAGCAACCACATGGTGGCTCACAACCACCTGTAATGAGATCTGGTGCCCTCTTCTGACCTGCAGTCATATATGCTGTATACATAATAAGTAAATCTTTAAAAAAAAAAAAAAAAAAACTTTAAAAAAATTTACACATTGAAGAGCCTTGTCGTGTTCCCAGTTGGGGGTAGGGCTTTCGAATAATGTTGCTATTTACAATTGCCTATGAGCTCTTATGTGCGTACAAGCCTTAATTTGTATTGAGTAAATTTCCAGGGATTAATGGATCACATGGCAAGTGGATGTTTATAAGAAACTGTCCAACTCCTTTTCCAAAATGGCTATCCCATTCTGTACTTCCAAACCTAAGTAACGGGAGCAAAGCTCTGTCGCTCTGCATCCTCACCAGCTTTGGTATCGATACACACGCTTTCCACCAAACACACAATATACGAAATAAAGATTTTAAACTGGGCGTTTAAACCTCAAGTGCTGGGATTATGGATGAGTCATCACGCAGGGCTGTGGGAGGATAGTCAGGAACTGAGGACCAGGAAGGGTTAAATGACCCAATTCATCACAAAATCAGGATTCGTTCACAGACACCGTCTAAGCTCCTTCTACCGCCCGAGTGCTTTAGGCTCATTTTCACCCCCCGCCTGGCTGCTGGGACAGAATACCTCAAACACATCACGTTTTTACTTGCGTGGGTCGGCTTACTGCTAAGGGGTGCGCTAATTACAGATCCCGAACTGAGTTGTAGGGAAAAAAAAATCCGGAAGCCGTGAGCCCGCAGCTTGCAAACTGCCGGTTTCTCCCAGCGCCATGGTTGGCGTGTGACCTTTCTACACTCGGGAGGACTCGGAAAGCAAGACCAATGAGCCGATCGCTCCTGTGCGCAGGACAATAAAACTGGGTTCCTATTGGTCAGTATCGCAAGAGCCCGCCCAACAACTTCCGGGAAGCCTTCTTTAAGTTAAGGTCTGGCGACCATTTCTGCCTCTTAGCGACCGGCCGACGGCGAAGGTAATGTCTTGTTCCCGCGGGCCGAGGGGCTGCACCGTTGGTGGGTGGGCGGCCGGCAGTGATGACACTCCATACAAAGCACGCGTTAGACTGCTGATCCGGGTGATGCGAATCCGAGTCTGAGCCGACTGCCGCGGCAGCGGGGAAGGGCGGGTCCCGCCAGCCTCCATCCCCTCCTCACTCTCGGCTTCTCTTTCAGATCTGCCCGGTGGAGGACAGCAGACAGCGTGGGCCTCCCCACCCTTCCCCCAAGCCTCTGAATAAAGTGTGTGTTGACTCTAAGGCTGGTGTCCGTGTGTCACTGTCCCCGACGCGCTGCCTTTGAGCCCCCGGCGTCCTTCCTCGTGGCGCCGGGGGTTAAGCTGCGGCGCCATAGCAATTGCTAGCGCATAACTGGGGCCGCCTGCCCATCGCGGGCGGCCTTTTTAACTGCTAGGTACAGGCCGAAACCAGCCTGCCACAAGGCTCTTTGGGGTCGAGAGAAGGCCGTTTGCAGGCGGCGTATGCAAGATCTAACGTGGCTTTGGAGTAACCGCGGCCCAAGGGCGGACCTGTTGGGCGATAATTGAGATCTGTCTGGCCTATCAGGATTGGACTTGGGGGTGTATAGTCGTCATCTGTGGCACTTGGGTGTTGAGGCGGGGGAGGGAGGCCCCCTAGGGGAGTCATAGTCAGGAGGGGTCAGTGTTTGACTAGCAAATAGGCCCGGGCTGGTAAAGCCAAATGGTGTGCACTAGTACATCAAAACTGGCGTTTGAATAACGGAGAATGCCCAGTGATGCTATAGGGAATTTCTGAGACGGTCTCACTATTATAGCCTTGGCTGTGCGCCTGCCTTCGCTTTGGGATTGAAGGTGTGCTCCACCACCGCTCTGCTACAGAGTTCTTGGTGCTCCCGACAGTAAGAAAACATTCCATTGAAGCTTTAGGCAAGCTAAATTGTCGGGTTAGCTTCAATTAGAATTAGGGATATGATTTAGGCAACGCCGATGACTGAATACAGGGCGTTTGTCAGCCGAGGAGCCCTGGGCATGGGGAGGGGGGGCAATGCACAGAGAACTAACTGAATAATTGTGAGCCCCAGTTAGGGATCGCCGCATCCCCTGACTCCAAGGTCAGCATGGTTCTAATGGGAACAGGCCTGCACTGCATCTTAATGAGGCAGCGGAGCCTCATTTCGGATAAGCTGAAACCAGTCAACAGAAAGCAAGCTTAGGGGAGCCGGTCCCAAGGCCAGTTTGCCTAGAAAACAAGATTAGTCCCTCATTTTACCCCCTTACTCTTCCCCTAAGGGTAGGCTGATAACTCAGTTGCATTCCCACCTCAACATAGCTGTGGTCTAGGAAGGGTGGATATGACCAGCCTGAGGGCCCCAGTGTTCCACTTTTATGGGCTTTTCTATAAATAACAGATGCTTATCTGGTGTTTGACATGAGATGTTTATTTTGTGAACAATGCGATTGTAAGTCCCCACATACGATTTTAAGTGCGACGGTACAGTCGTGTAGTCTCTTTACACTGTAGTGCTTCTATCTAGTCCTTCACCTTCAGTTGCTACTGCACAGAAAAGGAACAGTGAACAAGACACTGGACTCTGATAGGCGAACTGGCCTATACAAGGAGTAATTAGGGCACTACACTGACTGGAATGATCAAATAATTTGTCATGTTTTAATGGGATGATTAAAATAATCAAAGGTTCAAATATAATTTTTTAATATATTAATTTCTTTAAAGTCATCTTCAGGCAAGGTGCTGTTTAAAAAAAAAAAAAACACTATTAGCTCTGTCCACGGACATTAAATTATCAAAAGTTACCCAAGGTAATTTTGATATTGGATGCAGCTTTGAACAAAATTGTATTAGGTCTTCTCAAAGCAAATTATGCAATTAGAGCCCCAATTTGTAAACTAAACATTCTGACACAATGCACAAACTTAAGTTGGCAACATTAAAGAAAGGTCACAAGTGCACGTGGAAATGTAGTGCTTGACGCTGACTAGGAAGTAAACAGTCCTCCTCTGGCCATCAGAGAAGGGGACTGCCCACAAACCTCCCAAACCAGTTAGATGAGTAAGGCCCTCCCCTCCCACACAGGAAACCAGAAAAGAACAGCTTGGCTCCGGCTTTCTGGCCCCATTCCATCAGTACCAGGGAGGAACAATCAGTCATTGTGTGCAGTGTGTGATATTGCCACACATGCTCATGTCTCCGGGGAATTATCAGGATTGATTAGAAGCAAGGCGATTGTACCTCATTTGGGATGGTTTGATCTCATGGCTTTGCCTGATGTTCACATGAAACCCGCTGTCCCCGCCCCAGCTGAAAGTGTGTTTGTGGGTGTGTGTCCTATGGCTACTTGCTTCCAAAAATGCACAATTTAATATGAAAAAGAGTTGCTATGCCTATCTT